CGCCGGCAGAGGCCTCCCAGCTAGGGTCCGAGCAGGTGGGGCCGGAGCACCGCGCCGCGTCCCCGAGGCGCCCACGATGCATCGGCGACGCACCGGCGGCGTCGGGGTGCACGAGGTCGGGCACCACGTCGGACCGCATCGCCGATGCATCGGCGATGCGGCGCGAGCCTCCGACCCCATCTGCTCGGAGCCCATCTGGGAGGCCCAGAGCCAGGGAGCTGAGAGCGAGGACGAGGGCCGCAGGGCTCTCGGCAAGGGTATCGTTAAGTCGGGCGTGTCCCCCTACAGGGGGTTCTCGACGAACAATCAAAAACACTCCAAAAATACTCCAAGATGGTCCAAAAATGCTCTCAAAAAATGCTCCCCTGCTTTGTTTTTTGACTATCTTTTGGGATATTCCCCCTGTAGAGATGCAGGCCCGACTCAAAGGGTATCAGAGCGCCTGCGGCTGAGCACAGAGTCGCAGCCTTCTGACGCCGGTGCCGGGCCCACGGCGGCGGCGGCGGCGAGGCCGCCCTCGCGCGAGGGTGGCAGAGGGCGGGCGCCTGCCCCCCGGGCCCGGGCTTACACGCCAAGGAGGCGGGGCTCCCGTGCTCACATGAAGTCGTCGTCGGAGTCCACGAACTCGTCCGGCTCGTCGAAGTGCTCGAACTCCACGCGGTACCGCATCAGCCCGCCGATGCCTCCGAAGCCCTTGCAGAACTGGTTGCCCTCCTGTGATCTGTCCGTGATGAACTCGAGCTTGGTGCCGAAGGTCTTGTAGTTCTCGACGATCCACTCTACGAAAGGAGTGTTGGACTCGCAGGTGAGCTCCACGCCAGTCTCCTCGTCGCGGTAAAGCTTTTCGTTCTTGGACTCAAGGGTTGTGAGGTAGTGGGTCTCTTCCTTGTCTGTGTGCGGGTTCTTAATTTGCAGCCGAACCATGTCGAGGTTCTCCCACACGATCAGCGTCTCGATCGCGCCCATCTCCAGACCAACCATCGTGTCCTTCATGCCGAAGCAGAACTTGCCCGTGTCCTGGGCTACCTCGTCAAGGAACTGGCCGATGAGCTTCTTCTCTTGCAAGAACTTTACGTTTTTCAGCGTCTCCGAGGAGAGTGCGATGGCCTGGCTGAAACCATTCTCCCCGCCGTAGGCGATGTCGAGGAGGGGTTTGATGATGATGGCGTCAAGCCGAGGGTCCCACAGGTCGCTCGTCGTCAGGTCATTCTTGAAATCGGCCGACCCAGCAATGATGAGGCCCTGGATGTTCGGCTTGGCGTCCGAGATGAAGCACTGCGTGGCAATCTCGCTGACCTTCCGCACGTAGTTGTGACGCTTCTCCAGGCGCAATCGCGCGAAACGCAGCGCGGACTGCCCGCCGCGGCCGTGCTTCTTGGGCAGCTCCACGGAGAACTTGTGGAGCACCTCTCTGTGGTTGCCCGACACGGTGCCGTACAGGGACCCGTTGCCGTCCATGATGAGGAAGCCGAACTTGTCGTCGCTCTCGAGCAGCTCGGCCAGGTCCTCGCAGTGGAACCTGTTGTCGCAGAGGTACATGGTCGTCCCGATCGGCTTGAAGGGCTCGAAGTCTATGGTGAGCTTCTTCTCCTTGCCGTCGTCTGTGATTATCTCACCGCAATAGATGATGAGGCCGTTGTTGGGCGTTCTGTTGTACATCTTGAGCCTCTGCTGCGTGGACGTGATTGCCGCCAACACCGAGAGCCTATTCACTCGCGACTTGATACAGGAGGCTGTCCCGTACTCTTCGGTAAGGAGCTTGTTGATGCGATTGATGTCATCCTTCGGGGGGATGATGAGCGAGATCATAGACGTCCCGGCGCCCTTCGCGTTCTCCAGCTGTTTGATCAGCCGGCGCAACTTCCACTGCTCGATGGCGGGATCGTAGTCGTCATCCTTCTTCGCCGACTGCACGTTCGCCTGGGCGCCCCATGTGGACATGGGTGCCGCGCCCGATGAGTCTGGGAACTCGCGAGCGCTCAGTCCCAAGGGACCAAGCCCTGTGAGTCTGCAAAACTATATGCGCCAAAATGGCTAAATACGAACAGTGGCTCTCTTGGGGCAGCTTGACTCCTCCAGCGGCCACTCTGGGCTATCTTGGGGGCCTCTTTGACTCCTTTGGGGCCGTCGTTGGGAGGTCATTGGGGCCCTCGTGCGCTGCCCTGGAGTCCCCTGAAAAACCCCTTGGAGTCGTGTTGACCAAGCAACCCACGAAAGCGAAAACAAATGTGCTATCAAAATGAGCATGGTGTTCCTGATTTGCGTTGTCTGCGGCCTCTCGTGGCGCCTCCAGGGGGGGGATATCTTGGAGTCTTTCGTCAGTCTCAGGGCCTCTTGCGCCATCTTCGACTCTTGGCCTTAGAGCGTGCTAGAATCATCTTAGGCCGACTGGACGCCCTCTTAACCCCTTTCAGGGCCGTCTTGAACGCCTCTTGACGCGCAACAGGCGGACTTTCTCTCTGAGCAACTTGTCTATAAGGGTCTATGTTCCCTACACAGCTTGTGTGAAAGATTAAGTATCCGCCACCGTGCCCTGAGGCACGAGTTGGAGTGTCGTCCGATTCCTTCGAGTTCGCTGCACTGAGTTTTGCCGGCAGGCTCCCAAAAAGTACTTGTACTTAGGAGTTCTGACATGTTTTCTAAGGAGCTAGGCTCCTTTGTCGGGTCCGCCGCCTTGTTGCCGCCGTCGCCGCCCCGCCGCCGCCTCGTCGCCGCCCGTTGTCTGATTTTGTTTGTCGACTCCGCCGCCTCGTCGCCGCCGTCGCCGCGGCGTCGCCGCCTCGTCGCCGTCCGTCGTCTGGGCTCGTTTGTCGGATCCATCACCTTGTAGCCGCCTCGTCGCCGCCCCGCCGCCGCTGTGTCGCCACCCGTCGTCTGAGCTCGTTTGTCGTGTCCGCCGCCGTGTTGACGCCGTCGCCGCTGTGTCGCCGCCTCGTCGCCGCGGCGTCGCCGCATCCTCTCCGCCCGTCGTCTGGGTCCATCGGTCGGGTCCGCCGCTGTGTTGCCGCCGTCGCCGCCCCGTCGCCGCCTCGTCGCCGCCGGTGGTCGCAGCCCCGATGCACCACCAAGATGGCTCCACGACGACTGCACCACATAGACTGCACCACATAGACTGCACCACGCAGATTGCACCACACATATTGCTCCAGAACGATTGCACGATATGGGTTGCATAACCTGTGTTGCACTGGAAGGACTGCTCAACGTATATTGCACCACACAGACTGCACCACACATGTTGTACCACATAGGTTGCACCACGTCCATTGCAACATGAAGATTGCACAACATAGATTGCACAACCTGTCTTGCACCAGACGGATTGCTCAACGTCGATTACACCACATATATTGCACCACGTAGATTGCACAACCTAGATAATACCACACGTCTTGCACCACGCTGATTGCACCACAAGGATTGCACAACACTGTTTGCACCACGTAGATTGCACCACGTCGATTGTGCCACCTCTATTGCACCACATGGACTGCAATATAGACAGCACCGCACATAGATTGCGCCACGCAGAGACTGCTCCACAGATGTTGCACAAGATAGATTGCCAGAAACAGATTGTTTGAGGTACACGCTTGCAAAAATTCTTCCAGGGGCCCACTGTCCGAATTCCCAGATCTCCTGATCGCTCTTGGGCGCTCCCAGGGTCGGTCGCATGACTGTTCCCGACCTCCAGACGGGCCAAGAGGGCCCCAAGAGGCCACCAATACGGTCCAAGTGGGCCCCGAGTCGCCCAAAGATCCCAAGAGGCCCTCGAGAGCAACAAAAGCATGTTTGTCCTGAGGGATTCGACGAAGTCTGACATGCTGGCCATCTCTGGCTTCCGAAAACCCGAGATGGCCCAGCAGCTCCGAAGAGCTCCAGGGCAGCCCAACAGGGGGGCCCCAAGACGGCCCAAGAGGCCCTCAAGACGGCCCCAAGGGGACCCCAAAACGGCCCAGGATGCTCCCAAGACGGCCCGGGAGGCGCCAACAAGGCCCCGAGAATGGCCCAAGAAGGGTAAGGCGAGCTGGCCACGACAGTCGTTTCCTACAAGATTGCCTCCAAGACCCCCCAATACGCCCCCAGGAGGCCCCAAGACGCCCGAGAGGGGCCCAAGAGACCATCAAGAGGCCTCGCAAAAGTCCTCCTGCAGACCACCAAAGGCCTCCGAAACGGACCTAAAAGGCTACCGAGGCACGCTCAAGAGGCCCCTGAAAGGTAAAAAGACGCGTCTTTAATTCAACCTCTTTCTCGCTGCGCTGCTATGCTGGCGCGGCGTTGGCGGGGTTTGCCGCAGGCAACTGGACAGCACACATACGGAACTAACATACCCAGAGCATCCATCAAACGACCTCGAGCATGCATACAGCACGGGTAAAGATGTCCTCAGGCGAAATCGCTGTGGATCGCCACACCAACACACACACACACACACTGAAAAATGCATGAGATAACTCCATACATAAGAACTGCGCAAGCAACCAATCATACAAGAGGTCGCACTGGGTAATCACACAGAACGGACTGCGGAACCATTCGCACAGATCCCTGGTGGAGATCGTCCAAAACAAACGAAGTTGGAGGGCGGCTTCGTCAGATTATCTCCTAAAATGCTCAGACAAAGTAGGGGACGGCATGAGAAGGCAGAACGCGGAGCCAGCGCCGAGACAAGAGCGCGATTCCTAAGAAAATGGTACGGATAACGCTCCCTAGAGCGCGATTCCTGCGTGGCGAGAGCACAATCCCCGAGCAAAGTCAAAGGAAGTTTCAAGCGAAACCATGATTCCTGAGTACATCGTGAGGGGTCTCAGGAGAGAGTGCGATCACAGAGCATATGGTCAGGAAGTTTCAAGCTAAAGCAGGATTCCTGATTCCTGAATACAAAATATTCAGACGTCTCGAGCGAGGCCCGCGCTTGAGAGTAAGCCTCGCTTTCAATCGATATCATATAGGCAAGTGAGCGCAAGGACGACTTGGCCGCACGAGGTCTCAGCTGGGGCGTCCTCGTCTATCCGCTGGTTCTCGGCGACGAGGTCCACCGCGAAGGGGCTGCGCTGCAGCTTCCGCGACCACCGCTGCGGAGACGGGGCGGCGGGGCGGGCGCCCCGTCCCTCCACGAGGGGCACGGAAACTGCTGGAGGCCCACGTGGACTCCGTGGGCCGGCGCCGGCCTGCTCCCCGCCATCCCCCCCCCCCCCGAAGCAACCTCTGGCGCCCGCCCCCCCCCCCCGCGGGCGCCGCAGAGCGCGCCGGGGGAGGGGCGCAGGGTCCAGCGCGCCGACGCAAGGTCCGCGCGAACCTCTGCTGGCGTGCAGCACCGATCTCCGAGAGGCGCGCTGCCCCTGTGAGGCGAGGCCCCCCGTGAGGGCCCCCTCCGTGCACGCCGTCCCCCCGCTGGGGCTTCTTCAGGTGCACGCTGTGTCCCCCAAGGTGGGGGATAGGCAGTAATCAGCGGCCCCGCGGCGCCACGGCGCACGCGCTGTCTTTCCAACGCCAAGCGTACACTGTTGCTTGGTTCTGGGTTCTCGACTGGCGCAGACAGGCCGTTTCCATCTCTCCTTGCTCCCCATGCGCTGCCTCTCTCCTGGCAAACCATCAGGCACCAGCGGGCGCTGGCGATTCGTGTGCTGACTCGTCCTGGCGACATGTTTGCACGGCTCAGCGTCAGAACGTGCCTGTACCAGCTGCTTCACCGTCGATGTGTATTCAACCAATGCTGTAGCTTCCGCAGAGAAAGACACATGTGCCGCTCCCACCATCCCCCTCCATCCCCTGCCTCCATGGACGTGGAGGCCCCTGGAAGCCCATGGAGCCCCCTGAAACATCTCAGAAGTTCACTCCCCCTCACAGACAGCCAAAGCGCTTCAAGCAGAAAACGCCCTCCCTCCATGGCCTAGATGCTGCCTGAAACTCCCCTACGCTTCTCCACTGCCAATCCTGGAACCGCTTAGATTCACAAAGCCCATCAACAAATCCTCGCGCCCTGTCCCTCCCGCCCTACAGCTACCCATGATGATTACTGCCTCCATCCCTTCCCTAACAATGTCCAACAAGGGCACCGCCTCTCCCACGAATTGTTCTCCTCCTCCTCCGCCTCCTCCTCCACCTCGTCCTCCTCCTCCTCCTGTCCTCCTGCTCCTCCTCCTCCCCCTCATCCTCATCCTCGTTCTCCTCCTCCTCATCATCCTCCTTATATATTCCTCCTCATCTTCCTCCTCCTCCGCCTCCTCCTCATCTCTTCCTCCTCCTCCTCCTCCTCCTCCTCGTTCTCCTCCTCCTCCGCCTCCTCCTCCTCCGCCTCGTCCTCCTCCTCCTCCTCCTGTCCTGCTGCTCCTCCTCCTCCTCCTCATCCTCCTCATCCTCCTCATCCTCCTCCTTATAGATTTCTCCTCCTCCTCTTCCTCCTCCTCCGAGTCCTCCTCCTCCGTCTCCTCCTCCTCCTCCTCCTCCTCCTCCTCTTCCTCCTCCTCCTTCTCCTCCTCCTCCTCCTCATCCCGTCCTCCTGCTGCTCCTCCTCCTCCTCCTCCTCTTCCTCCTCCTCCTCCGCCTCCGCCTCCGACTCCTCCTCCTCCTCGTATCATTCGTCTTAGTATTCGTATTCGTCGTCTTGTTCTTCTTCTGATAATTATGATTAACATTATTAGTATCATTATTATATTAGTACCAAGATTAGTATTATGCTTCTTAGTCGTGTTATTAGTATTCTTATTATTGTTCATATTATTATGCGGAGTCTTATTATCCGTCGTCTTCTTAGTAGTATTAGTATTCGTCTTCTTCATATTATACGTATAATTATTCTTATAATTAGTATTATTCCTCGTATTCTTCTTAGTATTATTATTCGTCTTCTTAATACTATCATTGATATTGGCATCATTATCCTTGTTATTAGTAGTATCATATTCGTCTTATTAATTCCCTACCTAGGCTCTGCCTAGAAGGGTTCTTACTCTCTTAGCTTCAAGGGGCCGGGCAGTGCTACACGCCACGGGCGGTTCCCCCAGTCCCCTGGGAGCGGTTCCCCCCAGTCCCCTGGGAGCTTTAGCTTTAGCTTTAGCTTTAGCTTAGCTTTAGCTTAGCTTTAGCTTAGCTGTAGCTTAGCTTTAGCTTAGCGTTTCGCTTAGCGTTTAGCTTAGCTCTAGCTTAGCTGTAGCTTAGCCTTAGCTTAGCTTTAGCTTAGCTTGAGCTTAGCTGTAGCTTAGCTTTAGCTTAGCTTTAGCTTAGCTTTAGCTTAGAGTTAGCTTAGCTGTAGCTTAGCTTTAGCTTATATTTAGCTTAGCTGTAGCTTAGCTTTAGCTTAGTTGTTGCTCAGCTTTAGCTTAGCTTTAGCTTAGTTTTAGCTTAGCTTTAGCTTAGCTTTAGCTTAGCTTTAGCTTAGCCTTAGCTTAGCTTTAGCTTAGCTTTCGCTTAGCTTTAGCTTAGCTGTGGCTTAGCTTTAGCTCAGCTTTAGCTTAGCTTTAGCTTAGCTTTAGCTTAGCGTTACTGTTACTACTAATGCTACTTTCCTAGGGGTTCCAACTCCTAGGTAGGGTCGCACTGGGATAATATTATGTTCATGCTGTTATATTCCCTATCTAGGCTCTGCCTAGAAGGGTTCTTACTCGCTTGGCTTAAAGGGGCCGGGCAGTGCAAACCGCCACGGGCGGTTCCCCCAGTCTCCTGGGAGCCAAGCAAAAGCAACAGCAAAGGTAAAAGCAAACGCGCGGTTCCCCCAGTTGCGCACCCTGGGTGCCAAGCAAAGGCAAAAGCAAAGGCAAAAGTGAAGGCAAAAGCGAAGGCAAAGCAAACGCATAGCATAGCATAGCATAGCATAGCATAGCATAGCATAGCATAGCGCAGCATAGCATAGCGCAGCATAACATAGCATAGCATAGCCTAGCCTAGCCTAGCCCAGCATAGCATTGCGCAGCATAGCATAGCATAGCAGAGCAGAGCAGAGCAGAGCATAGCATAGCATAGCATAGCGCAGCACAGCATCCGCTAGATGTAGATGTGAGTCTCGCTGTTGATGTTGATGTAGGTGTAGATGCAGGTGTAGATGTAGATGTGGCTGTAGGTGTAGATGTAGATGTAGATGTAGGTCTAGATGTATATGTAGGTGCCGATGTAGATGTAGGTGTAGATATAGATGTAGATGTAAAGAACTCCCCAGTGCCCCGCCCTCATCTCCGTGCCTGATTGCTTTTGCTGCTGTCTCGGCGACTTGCTGCCTGCTTCTGCTGCTGCTTCACTTACGGCGTGGCGTCGGCGGTTCTGGCGCTACTACTACTACTACTACTACTACTACTACTACTACTACTACTACTACTACTACTACTACTACTACTACTACTACTACTACTACTACTACTACTACTACTACTACTACTACTACTACTACTACTACTACTACTACTACTACTACTACTACTACTACTACTACTACTACTACTACTACTACTACTACTACTGCTAATGCCGCTACTGCCGCTACTGCTACAATTACGACGATGAGGAGGAGGAGGACGGCGTTTACCGCTCCTACTAACGTTGCTTTCCTAGATGCTCCAACTCTTAGGTAGGGTCGCACTGGGATAATTCGTCGTATTCTTATTATTAAACTTCGTGTTCTTTTTCTTCCTCCTCCTCCTCCTCCTCTTCCTCCTCCTCCTCCTCTTCCTTCTCCTCCTCCTCCTCCTCCTCTTCCTGCCCGCCGTTGTTTGCAGTCCTGCCGCTGCGAAACCTGTTTACCCTTTCCCTACTCGCCATCATGCTCATTGCCCTCATACCCCGCCGAATGAAGGATGATGATGATGATGATGGTGATGATGATGATGATCATCCTCCTCCTCCATCTCCTCCTCCTCCTCCTCATCATCATCATCATCATCATCAGCATCATCACCATCATCATCATCACCACCACCATCATCATCATCGTCATCATCATCATCAGCAGCAGCAGCATCAGCATCATCATCATCATCAGCATCATCATGATGATGGTGATGCTGATGATAACGGTGGTGGTGGTGGTGAGATGGTGATGGTGATGGTGATGGTGATGGTGATGGTGATGGTGATGGTGATGGTGATGGTGATGGTGATGGTGATGGTGGTGGTGGTGAATGATAGTGATGATGATGATGCTGAGGGCAATGATGGTGGTAATGATAAGTGATGATGGTGGTTATGATGATGATGATGATGATGTTGGTGATGATGATGGCGCCGATGGTGATGCCGATGGTGATGATGCTGGTGGTGCCAAGTGACGATGATGAAGATGATGCGAATGCTGATTATCATGACAACGATGAGGATGATGATGATGATGATGAGTGGTGGTGATGCGACGACGGCGACGATGACAATGATGACAATGATGCTGATGATGGTGGTGATGGTGATGGTGATGATGATGGTGATGGTGATGAAAATTATGTTGCTGATGATAATCATGATGATGATGCTGATGATGATGGTTGCATGCTGATGATAATGATGATGCTGATGAAAATGATGATGATGATGATGATCATGATGATGATGATGATGATGGTGAAGGGGATGGTGATGGTGATGGTGGTGGTGATGATGGTGAAGGTATCAGTGATGATGGTGATGATGATGCTGATGGCGATGATGGTGAGGCTGATGATGGTTAGGGGATGTTGACGGTGCTGGTGATGATATCAGGGCTGCCGGCCCCTCAGCAATGGCAGAAGTGACCACGCCGCCACAAACAAAATGACCCGCCAGTGAATAGTTGCCAGCCCGTGAGAGTTCTCCTCGCAGCGCGTGAGTACTTCTCCTGCTTCTGCCGAAGAGACCCCATGACTAAAGACCAACGTCCGATGGAATAGTGGTGGCAGTGGTGACGATGCTGATAATGATGACGATGATGATGATGCCGATGATGATGATGACGATGATCATGATAAAGGGTGCCGATGATGACGATTATGATGATGTTGCTGACGTTGCTGACAATATGGGGCGAAAGCCCCCTCGTCCAAAGACGCAGAAAGCACACTAGCCCTCCTCTGGAGGGAGCTCGTGGAGCCGAGCTGAGGCCTCCACCCTCTTCATC